ATAATGCTTACCTTTCACACAACATATCCGACCATTTTGGGCATCACAGTCGTCCTTGCAGTATTGATTATTTGACTCGTATTCATCCTTATTGCAGTGTTTTTTACGGCATTGACCATCACACGTATCTGCACATGCTGGCCCCCCTGCATCAGTAAGTATGAAGAATGTTCACCCCAGTATATTATATAACAATATATAATTACTTCCATGTCATCAGTAGCTATTGTATAGTTATGCAATTATTTTAACTGGCTTATATTTTATTAACTACAGTGAAAGTAGGTTTGAAATGTAAGGTAATCTCCGTCGTCTTCACGACACTCCTTACCACATATAGTCTTGTTTCTCAAATGACGTATGTGTAACGAGACTATAACTTACTTCACGTCTATTATTTTATGTGGACAGCTGTTCTCAAACCAGACATTACAAAATAACAATTCAGTTAACAAATAGTTATCACCAATATTATATTTTTAAGGGAAATTGTTCGTTTTGAGAATAACAATAACAGTATGTTAAGTTCTAGCAACAGCAAGAATGTATCATGACAGATCGTAGCTGAATAGAATAGAATATAGTACACTTACACCGTTGACCGTCGGTTGAAATGGCAAACAACTGAAATAAAAATAATCGCCATTATTTAAAATTACACCATGCATGTTCAGAAATATATACAGTAAGACAGACGATCTATATACAACCTACACTAGCTGACTTATACATGTTGCTGGTTTTTATGATGCAGTGAATACAATCATCAACACCCACTGACTCATGCGATCAACTGCACAAACACATACTTTACCATCAATCATATTGATTTGTTGTGGTGGAAATCCCATGTCAATGTTTTGTAATACAATTAAAGAATATTTACAATATATAGGTAGTACTTACACAGACCAACGCTGCCAGCGTTAACAGAAAATGACTGGAATGCATTTTGGATATAACTTCACTTAGAGCAATTTACGCACGCTGAGAGCCGAGTCCAGGTGTGTGAATAGTATTTATTTTAGTTATTTATAAGTGATATCATCGGGCACACCAAAGAGCAGAGTTGCTGGTAAACAAACAGTTTTTCCCATACGTTTATAAAATATCTGCATAAAACATAATACGATTATACATCCGATAAGAGTCTACGCCATACGTTCATAATCAGAATAGTTTTTGACTGCAACTGTTCGGATATGATACTTACAGTGTTAATTAGTTTCTATAATAATAAATGGCCATTACTCGCACTTATTGTACCGCATAGGATTAGTCATCATATAACTATGGAGAGCTGTTTAGTATTTGGTAAAAAATAGTCTGATGTGTGTCTTCGTTGTATAGTTTGTACTGGTTTCCTATCTAGTAGCTTTCTCAATTGAATTACTTCATGTGTCAATGTGCTATGAATAAATCATCATTACGTATCCCACCTCAACCAAAACTCTTCATTCAGAAGACATGCAGTTGTCAATGTGTATAGTCAGAGTGGTATACAGTAAATTAAATTAAATTAACATTTTCAGCACATATCGGTTATCATATGTTTATTTCCAAAGTAG